CCATGAGAACTAAAAACATATGTCTTCAAAAAAAGGTATAATACATAAATGTTCATAGCAGCATTATTCACAATAGCCAAGAAGTAGAAACAATTCAAATGCCCTCAACTGGTGACTGAATAAGCCAAATGCAGTATATATATAAAACAGGATACCATTCAGCAATAAAAAGGATGAACTACTGATACATACTACATCATCAATGAACCAACCAAAAACACTTGTTCAGTGAAAGAAGCCAGACATAAAAGATGCATGAATCATTTATAGTCAGCCCTCTGTATCCATGGATCCAATGGAAAATATTTGGGGAAAAAAACAATAAATAATATACCAATAAAAAATACAAATCTTTAAAAGCAGTGTAACAACTATTTATATAATGTTTACACTGTTTGGGTATTTTAAGTAATCTGGAGGTAATTTAAAGTATACAGGACAACATGTGTAGTTTATAGGCAAATATACCATATTCCATAAGGGACTTAAGCATCCAAGGATTTTGGTATCCATGGGGGTCCTGGAACCAATGACCCATGGATACTGAGGGGTAACTATCTGAAATGTCCAGAAAAAGTAAATTTATAGAGAAAGAGGATTAATGGTTACCTGGGACTGGGAGTGGGAATGGGGAGTGACTGCAAACAGGCCAAGGCATCTTTTTTTTAGGTCTTGTAAATGCTCTACAATTGGATTGTGGTGACAGTTGCCCAATTCTGTAAAGTTACTAAAAAGCATTGAAATGGGTGAATTTTATAATATATAAAGTGCATTTCAATAACATTTTTTTTTGTTTTTTTAAGAGATGGGGTCTTGCTATGTTGGACTCAAACCACCAGGCTCAGGTGATCCTCTGCCTCAGCCTCCTGCATAGCTGGAACTACAGGAACACACCATTGCAAGTGGCTTAAACCTGTTTTTTTTATTTTAAAGAAAAATCAGCGTCACCAGATAAAACCTTTCCAAAGCTCTGCTCCTGACTAGAGAACTGCAGTGTGGCCTCCAGAATATAACATGTTCACAGTCCTGCCTGGCATTCAGGCCCTGAGTCTGGCCTCGCCACCTGCCACATCCTCAAGCATCCTACCCTCCTTGTGGCTGCCAAGCATGTGGGCTTTGGAGTCAGAAACCCTGAGGTTCTAGCTCTGTGATCTTGGGTTACTTGGCCTCACTGAACCTGTTTCCTCACTTCTGAGATGGGGATAATGACCTCTCACAGGTGAGCATGTGGAATTTCTGGGGTGATGCTCTGAATACAGCGGGCACAGTGCTTAGCACAGAGTGAATATGTACATTCCTCATACGGCTGGCTCAGGCCGCAGTCAACGTCTCCTCCTGAGAGGCACTGCCTGGCCATCCCACCTCAAGTAGGCAGCCCCAGTAGCCTTTGCACCCTTTTTGTTTCCTCCTTAGCTCTTGAAGCTCTTTGAGTCTTTTGCCTGTGTTTCTTCCTTTCTGGTCAGTTCTCTCCACTGGGCTGAGGACTCTATGATGACAGCGTCCTCCACTTTGTCCCTCATTGTCTCAGCAAGGCCAAGACCAGTAACATGAAGCCACTGAACATTCACTGAGGTAAGGAATAATTGACAGCTGCAGGTGCAGTGCTCTGGCACAGGGCCTCTCTGGTAGTGGCACATTAGGAGACTCACTTCTGTGTCTGACCACATCCTTCCTGATCTTGCCCTCCGCTGTGGTTCAGAATCAGCCTCATGGGAGCAATGCATGATAGTAAAGTCAATCAAGCCAGGAGAGGGTAATGAGTCTGGAGTGATTGGAGCAGTGGTGGGCTCAGTGGTGGGAAAGGGGAAAAGGCTGGTGAACGGTGAAGCAACCAACATCACCAAAATCACCAAATAGAGTGGCTAACGCCAAATGGAGGAGAGGGAAAGCAGACACACACAGGACGTGACTACCATGTGTGCCTTCTCTCACTGGAGGATGAGGTTAAATGTACTGGTTGAAACAAAATCTTTACCTATTTCACACGTTTTCTCTGAAAACTGGAGTTGAATACAACTGCAGCATTTTGCATTAATTAAATTTCTTTTACTATCCATGGAATTATGGTTTGAACACACTTTGTGAATTTATGCAAATAACTATGTAAACTAGCAAGAACTAGCACTTTTTTTTTTTTTTTTTTTTTTTTTTGAGACAGAGTCTCACTCTGTCACCCAGGCAGAGGGCACTGGTGCAATCTCAGCTCACTGCAACCTCTGCCTCCTGGGTTCAAGGATTCTCCTGCCTCAGCCTCCCAAGTAGCTGGATTATACAGGTGCATGCCACCACACCCGGCTAACTTTTTTATTTTTGGTAGAGACAGGGTTTCACCATGTTGGCCAGACTGGTCTTGAACTCCTGACCTCAGGTGATCTGCCCACCTTGGCCTCCCAAAGTGCTAACAAAACAGGCATGAGTCACCATACCCAGCCACTAACACTTAATCTTAAAGGGACTAGAACACTATCTAGGACCAGGCCTCAGGAATTAAATACAAATGGTCATTACGAATATTCAACTTGATCTAAAGAAGCTGGGGCAGATCTTCTTTGGCATCTACCGCCCATTAAATTAACCGATTTGTTCACTTTGACAACTGTTTTGTTGATGTGGCAATCTTTTTCACTCCCTTGCCTAAAGACAAGGTGAATTCCTCAACCCTCAAGTAACTTTGCTAACAGAAAAAGCCCCTACACCATAAGACTTCACTACCATCATCTCCTTTGTTCAATCTTCCTCTTTCAAACCCAAGTAGAGGGAAGGATGTGGTTCTCATAACATGGGGCTGTGCATCTCACTGGGCACTTCTGGACAAGTCACATAGCCTCTCGGATTGGTTTGCCCAGCTGGAAAAGGAAGTAGTCACCAAAGTTCCTTCTAGTTTTACTAGTCTGATAAAACTAAGTGGGGCACCAGCATCCTGTCAGGACAGGTACAGGTATTGTCACAAAATGTTCAGGCTGCCTTGCATATACATCATGGGGAGGGGGAAGATTAGTGAGAAAAAGTTGTTTTTTGCACCTAAAACATCTGGATTAAAGTCCCAGAAGTTACTCAGGTTAACACCTTGGGCATATTCCTTAACCTCTCTAAGCCTGATTCTCCATCTTTAAATAAACAGAATTGATATTTTGCAAAAGTATTTAAGAGAACTAGAAATAAAATGTACTTTTGTCTTATATAATACTCAAAAAAGATGAAGTTTCCAATCAACTTGGAAGACGGTACCCCAGCAAAGGCACTCCCCTGAACCTCTGAAGACTCCAAACTCAACTTTCCAACATTTCCCAAAACAAGAGACCAAATCACAAGGGTGGGAGCACCCAAACAGACCCAAGCATATCTTTCTAAATTCCAATTCAGGTTCCTTCCTCTCGGCCTTCCAACACAAGCCATCTCCTCCCCATTTAATCCTTGCCACAAGTGAGGTCAACAAAATTATACGACACCTAGCAAGCACCAAATGTGCCAAGTACTCTGCTAGGCTAAGAACAGAGGCCCCCACAAAGCACTCTGTGTTTCCTTAACACTTTCGCAGACATCATCTTATCCTAGGCAGTACCTAGGATACATACACAACCATTTTTTTTTTTAAATGTAGCCATTGAGGCTCAAGAGTTTTTCACTCAGGGTCACACAGCTAATGAACACCTGCCAGACCTCCTGAAGTCTTTCTGAGCCACCTCCCTAATTCCTCCTTAATTAACTAATTCACCTGCACCCAGCTCCGTGCATTTCATTTAAAGCTGGTCCCTTCTACTGGGTTCATTCATTTCATCTCTCCACAGTTGCTTACAAAGCATCCACAGGTGTAGACACAGGTGTAGAAGGAGGCAGAGCACAGCAATAGGTCCTGGAGTGGGCTTGTTTCAATCCCAGCTCTCCCATTTGCTATTTACATGGCTTTGGATCAGTTCCTTCACCTCTCAGTGCCTCAGTTCTCCTTAATGTATAATTATGAGCTAACAGAATTCTGCTGCTCTCATAGGGCTGTTGAAAATTAAATCAGTTCCTTATAAAGGGTTTAGTCCAACGCATGGCCCCTACACTGGAATAAGAGCTGCTTTTATTCTTCTGGGTTCTGGTACAGTCTTCAATCAGACAGAAACCTTAGCCTCAACAAGCTTACACTCTAGCGGGAAGCGCAATAAACAAGTAAACAACTATCAATAGAAGCTTCACGTTGTAATGAGTGCTATGAAAATAATAAATCTGTGACAGTGTGGAAGGTTACTTCAGATTGGGTGGTCAGGGAAGGATTCTCAGGTGATATCTAGGCTACACAAGAATTACAAGAGCAAGCAGGATGCAAGGAGAACTGAAAGAGAGAAAACAGCCGGCTTACAGACCCTATACTGGGCCAGCAGCAGCCTCCAGGAAAACACTGCGGTCCTGAGGCTGGGGACGAGGTGCGAGTGCCATGAGAGGGAAATAGTCCGAGATGCGGTCCCAGAGGTCGGCGGGCACCAGCCAGCTTTGGAACCAGGGAAGGCATCATCCAAGCACGCTAGGAACCCACGGAGGATTTTAGGCAGTGAAGGGGATCGGATCTGAGCTAAGATTTTTCCAGACCCCGCAGCTGTGCTGTGGAGAACAGACAGGCGAGGGAGAGCGGAGTCCCCAGGCAAAGCCCAAGTGGGAAGCACCGCGTACCCAGAAACGGAGGCTCGCACCTGGGGGGCCACGGGGCTGCCAGGCTGGGCGCAAATTCAAGAGAAGTAAAAACTAAGCCGACAGGAGAGGGGACGTGGCCTGGGCGTCTCTCATGTCCTGGCGGCCTCGCACTTTGTCCCGCTATCCACTCCTTCCCTGAAGCCGGTGTCGCGAAGCTCCAAGGCTGCCAGCCTCCGGCTCGCGTACCGGCGCAGCTTCGTCCTGGCCTGAGCCCCGGCGTCTCCCAAACCCCACGCCCCTCACGCGTGGAGGGAGCCCTGGCCCAGCGCTCCGCCCCGCACCTCCCCCGCCCGCGTGCCCGCCCCGGCCCAGGCGGCGCTGCTCACCCTGACGCCCTGCAGCACCCGGACCCGCTCCTCCTCGTCCACTCCGAAGGACACCCTACGGCCCTCGCTGCTCTCCGTACTCCCCATGGCGAGCTGCTGGCTAGCGGGCAAGCGGGCAGCCACCCGACCTGGGACCCGGCTCCGGAGTAACCGGGCCAACAACGCTTTCCAGGACTCGTGCAGCCGCGGCACCCGCCAACAAAATCACGTTCTATTGGCCGCCGTTGTAGGCTCCACCAATCGGATGGCTCGGAGTCGCGATGCCTTTTGGGGGTTGTAGTCCTTCCGTTTGTAGGGGCGGGGGCGTGGCGGTCAGCGCCTGCAGAAGTGCGTTAGGCTGAGGCCAAGGATAGGTACCAAGGACAGGGACACGTTCTGGCTTTGGGAGTTCACCCTTCAGGGAGAGCCGAGGGTGATGTTCTGAAGCCAGTAGACGCCGAGACGGCCAAGGCGCTCATCTGGAGGCAAATTTCTGAGGGTTCACCACTCCATTCATTCAGCAAACACGTGTAGAGCCGCAGGGGCTGAGCGCCAGGCAAGCAAGGACCAGGCCCTCGCACTACAGCACCTTTCAAGACAGCGAGTGTTCCACCCTTGTGAGGTTTACAGTGCAAGGGAGGAAACAAGTGAAAAACCAAATATGCATCCATGTAAACTGACAGTACACAGAAAACTGCATGGTGATGCCACTAGTGAAATGAACAGAAGGAGGCCTCTTTTTATTTCAGTGACCAGAACAATCTCTGAAGAAGCAGCTTTGAACTGAGCCCGAGGGAGAGTAGGATTTATACAGGAAAAGGCAGGGGAAGACATTTTCTGGGACTCTCAAGAAGGAAAAGAGAAAGAGCGTCCATCCCATGGCTGGAAAATGAGAAGAGGGCAGAGGAGCAGTAAGGACCCAAATCATGTCGGGTCTTGTGAGGCAGGGTCTGTGTGTGGGTTTTATTCTAAATGCCGCGGGAGGACAGGGAATGGTCCTAAGCATTTAGGAGGCATTGCCCAAGGAGTGTACATACCATGTGTGGAATGCAGTGTGCCGGGCACTGTGTGTAGGCTTCTTACACAGGACCCTATGTATAAGGGAGCACGCAGCTGGTTGCCATTCATAGATACTGCTACCTTCAACTAAGCCCCTTTTTGTCTCTCTGAGATGCTGAATGGCTTTAATTTGCAAAAGTGTGCCTGAAACCGAGCTGGGCAACACTAGATGGAGCTCCTTTTGGCAACTTGGAAAGAAAGGGGTGAGGAGGAAAGGATGAATGAGAAAGAGCAGTAAGGCTCTGAGACTCAAAATAGCTCAGTGCAGAGTGAAGAAGCCAGTAAACATCCCAGACATGGTGTGATCAGAGAATCTTTAGGAACAAAGGTTTCTGCTAGTTTCATTCAAAATACTTAATTGGCACGCCCCACTCCACCCCCTCTGTCCTCCACTTCTTCTCTATAAGCAGAGCCAGTGTAGGGGATTCTGGTGCAAGTGGTTTCCTGGGGGAGTACCTCAGAAGAAAGGAAGTGAGGGAGACAGGCTAAGAGGGGTAAGGGGTGGGGGGCCCAGGGAAAACTGAGTAAAAGTGTGGTCAGATCTGGCCCTGGGCTGTCCTTTGTCTCCTTTCCTTGGAGGTTTATGATTACTAATTCAACCTCCTTACTAGTTATTGGTCTGTTCAGATTTCCTGTTTCTTCAAGACTCAGTTTTGATAGATGGTATGTTTCTGCGAATTTGTCCATTTCTCCTCCTAAGTTATCTAGTTTCTTGGTGTATAATTGTTCATAGTAGCTGATGATGATCTTTTGTATTTCTGTGGTATCAGTTGTAATGTCTCCTCTTTCATTTATACTTTTGTTAATGTGAAGTCTCTTCTTTCTTGGTTAGTCTAGCTAAAGGTTTGTAATTTTATAGATCTTTATTGTTGATCCTTTCTGTTGTTTTTGTAGTTTCTATTTCTCCTCTCGTCTTTTTTATTTCCTTCAGTCTGCTAACTTTTGGGCTTACTTTGTTCCTCTTCTAGTTCCTTGAAATATAAAATTAGGTTGTTTTATGTCTTTCTTTTTTCTTAATGCAGGTATTTCTCGCTATAAACTTCCCTCTTAAAAATGTTTCTGCTGCATCCTATAAGTTGTACCTTGTGTTTTCATTTTCATTTGTCTCAAGATACTTGTTTATTTCACTTTTGATTTCTTCTTTGGCTCATTGGCTGCTCAAAAGTGTGTTGTTTAATTTCCACACATGTGTGAATTTTCCAGAATCTTCCTAGTATTGATTTCTGACAACAAATTATTCAAAAAGAAATTAAGAAAACAATCCCACTTACAATAACACCAAAAAGAATAAAATATGAATAAATTTAACCAAGGAAGTGAAAGAAAGATTTACGCAAAAAATTGTATACTAAAAATTGTAAGACACTGTTGAAAGATATTGTAGGAGACATAAGTAGAAAGATAGCCCATGTTTATAGATCAGAAGAATTAATATTGTTAAAATGGCTATACTACCAAAAGTAATCTGCACATTCAATATAATCATTATCAAAATTCTAATGGCATTTTTCACAGAAATAGAAAAAAACAATTTTAACATTTTATCTGGAACCACAAAAGACCCCAAATAGCCAAAGCAATCTTGAGAAAGAAGCAAAAAGCTGAAGGCATTATACTTCCTGATTTCAAACTATATTACAAGGCTATGGTAATCAAAGGAATATGATACTGGCATAAAAACAGGCACATAAATCAATGCAGAAAAGCAGAGAGCCCAGAAATAATCCCGTGCATATATTTCTACTAATCTTTGACAATGGTGCCAAGAATATGCACACTATGGGGAAAAACAAGTCTCTTCAATAATTGGAGCTGGAAATACTGGATAACCACATTCAAAAGAAGAAAATTGGACCCTTGTATTACACTATACACAAAAATCCATTCAAAATGAATTGAAGACTTAAATGTGAGATCTGAAACCCCAAAACGCCTAGAAGAAAACATAGGCAGAAAGCTTATCATTGGTCTTGATGATAATTTTTAGGCCATAAAACCAAAAGCACAAACAACAAAAGTAAAAATAAGCAAATGGTACTACATCAAACTAAAAAGCTTCTCCACAGCAAAGGAAACAATCAGCGAACTGAAAAGGCAACCTACAGACTGGGAGAAGATATTTGTGTACCATGTATCTGATAAGTGCTTAATATCCAAATATACTGTATAAGGAACTCACAAAACACAATAGCAAAAATAAATAAAAATCTGATTAAAAAATGGGCAAAGGACTTCATTTTTCCAAAGAAGACATGTAAATAGCTAACAGGCATATGAAGAGTGCTCAACATCACTAATTATCAGAAAAATGCAAATTAAAACCATGGTGAGGATCACCTCACACTTGTGAGGATGGGTATTATAATGAAGACATGAGAAGTGTTGGTGAAAAGAGAACCCTGTATCCTGCTGGTGGGAATGTAAATTTGTAGAGCCATTATGCGAGAAAGTATGGCAATTCCCCCAAAAGTAAATACAATCTAGTAATCCTATTTCTGTGTAGTTAACTTTAGCCTAAAGCTGCTTCCTTGTAAATTCAGCCTAAGGTTTCCCCATAAATAGTGAGCTGTTATCTAACTGGACGTATAAACAGACTATAATCTACTCTTGTAACAGGTAGCCAAGTCTCAGCCAATCACAGAAGACATACTTCAACTACTCACAAGTGGCCAACTGCTCAGTGATCAAATAAGTCTGTAACCCAGCTATAACCAATCTGGCTATTTCTGTATCTCACATCCATTTTCTGTATGTGAATGTCCTTTTCCTGTCCATAAATCCTCTGCAACCCCACTGGCAGCACTGAAGTCTCTTTGAACCTATTCTGATTTGGGGGCTCCCTGATTTGTAACTTGTCCTTTACTCAGTTAAACTCTTAAATTTAATCAGTCTCGAGTTTTTCTTTTATATATCTAAATAAAATGAAATCTTGGCAATATATCTGCTCCCACATGTCCATTACAGTATTATTCAAAATACCCAAAACATGGAAACAAGCTGTGTCCATCAACAAGTGAACAGATAAAATGTTTTACACACACGTGTGTTTTATTCAGCCGTAAAAAAGAAAGAAATCCTGCCATTTATGAAAATATGGATGAACCTGGAGGACATTATGCTAAGTGAAATAAGCCAGGCACAAAAAGACAAATAACTGTTTGATCTCACTTATATGTGGAATCTAAAAACATTGAACTCATAGAAGCAGAATAGAACATTTGATACTAGGGACTAGGAAGTGGGAGCAATGGAGAAATGTTCAAAGGGTACAAACTTTAGTTATAAGATGAACAAGTTCTGGCCAGGCATGGTGGCTCATGCCTGTAATCCCAGCACTTTGGGAGACGAAGGAGGGTGGATCATTTGAGGTCAGGAGTTCAAGACCAGCCTGACCAACATGGTGAAACCCTGCCTCTACTAAAAATACCAAAAAAAAAATTGCCGGGTATGGTGGCAGGTGCCTGTAATCCCAGCTACTCAGAGGCTGAAGCAGGAGATTCTCTTGAACTCAGGAGGTGCAGGTTGCAGTGAGCAGACCTCATCACTGCACACTTCAGCCCTGGCAACAGAGCAAGATTGCAACTGAAAAAAAAAAAAAAGGAATGAATAAGTTCTGAGGATCAAAAGCACAGCATGGATGGTGAGGGATTTGTTAATTTCATTGTGATAAGCATTACACAATTTATACGTATATCAAACCATCACATTGTATACCTTAAATATATATAATCTTGGCCAAATTTTTTTTTTGAGACATGGTCTCACTCTGTTGCCTAGGCTGGAGTGTGGTGGCACCAACACGGCTCACAGCAGCTTTGACCTCCTGGGTTCATGCAATCCTACCTCTCAGGACTATAGCCACACGCCACCACACCTGGCTAATTTATACATATAGTAGAGATGGGGGGGGTCTCACTATGTTGCCCAGGCTGGTCTCAAGCTCCTGGGCTCAAGCAACCCTCCCAACTTGGCCTCCCAAAATGCTGAGATTGCAGGTGTGAGCCACTATACCTGGCCACAAAGCCCAATAGCCACCAAGTATTCAGAGGCCACCAAGACATCTGTGCTGAACTAATTCAGCAAAACGAGTGAGAGCCAAGGGTGACCATGAGACTCTGGTGGCCTCACTCCCATTATGAAGAATCCTTGGGGAGTCTTGGAATTCCATAGACTTACAGCAGCATAGGTAAGCCTCATGACAACCCAGTGTGTTCTGTATCCCCACTTCACAGATG